GAACCTCTTGGGCAGCCTTCCTTGCGGAGGTGTTTGGGGCCCTCTGGAGATCACTTGGATCCTCTTGGGGCCTCTTGGGCTGTCTTGGGGCGATCTCGGGAGCCTCCAGGACCGTCGTGGGCGCTGGGGGAGACGAAGGGGCGAAGATGCTGCACGCGTACGCTTTCCGATGACTCGAGGCTTCCCTCTCGGGGCTCTCTTGGGAGTGCTCTTGGCGCTCTCTTGGGGCATCCTGTGGGCCCCATGGACGTCTCGGGGCCCCGCGGGACCGTCTCGAAGCTGTCGTGGACCGCTCCGGGGCTCTCTTTGGCCATCTGAGGCGTTTCTGGAGACAGTCTCGAAGGCTCCCGGCAGCTCCCACGAGTTCCCGGGAGTTCTCCGGAGCCCCCCGGAGCTCCCAGGATACCCCAAGAGCTCCCAAGAGCTTTCAGTCAATCCCGGCAGCGGGTAAGAATCCAGGGGTCCAGGCCCTGAAGAACTTGACATCCCCTGGACCTCTCAGGGCTGCATGAGCTTTGGGGGCACTCCACTGCGTGCTGAAGGCACTGTGGAGCAAGTTCTTGGGCGTGTAGCGGCGGACGCCAATCCTGAAATAATCACGTCTTCTGTTTGAGACTTCAGCTTGAGCTTCCAAATGCTAATGTTTCGCTGCTAGGCCTTGAGCTTCGGAAATTTCGCGTGCGAGCCGAGCATGTTTTCTGGGGAAGTCTTGGGGGAGGTGCGAAGCGCGCAGCGCCCACCGCGACCACTGCATCGCATTTCTGGTGCACGGCATGTTTGTTTGCATTGCAGCGGCCTTGCATTCTGATGTTCCCACCTATTTTAGCCTCGATCACCAAGGATAATTCCGAGCACCAGGAAAGTACCGAAATTCTTGACGCTTCGCGTATCCCCACCAGCGGCCGATACGTCTTGGTGTGGTTGTCTTCTCGGATCATGGATACACCTTGATGTCGCTGACGCCGCGGCTCGCTGCCGCCGTCGGGATCCTCGTTGGACTTACCACCCCGACCTCTGTGCTACCCGACAGGCTGGGGCTGGCGTCCTCGGTCGTTCCCTTGTCCGCCTTTGGACGTTGGAACGTTTTCGCGCCATTTTGGCTGCGCTAGGTGGTCTCGGTGCCTACCTCAGGCCTGTTGGACGCACCTGCATGCCCGTTCAGGGGCTGTCATGGCACCTGGATTGCATCGTCTTCACCTCCCTGGACGCTGTCGTGAGCCGCCTGATCCGCGGCCCTGCGCGCGTTAGGTAATTTAGTCGCGTCCGCGGCCCGTTCGCGACCTTCCGCCGCTGGCGCTTCCGCCTCCGGCTGTTTTTAAAAAAATAATTTTAAAAATACAAAAGTATCCCCACCAGCTTTCGCGCGTTTTTGGCTGCGCTAGGTGGTCTCGGTGCCTACCTCAGGCCTGTTGGACGCACCTGCATGCCCGTTCAGGGGCTGTCATGGCGCCTGGATTGCATCGTCTTCGCCTCCTTGGACGCTGTCGTGAGCCGCCTGATCCGCGGCCCTGCGCGCGTTAGGTAATTTAGTCGCGTCCGCGGCCCGTTCGCGACCTTCCGCCGCTGGCGCTTCCGCCTGCGGTTGTAAATAAAAATATCCCCACCAGAGCTGGCGCGTACAGGGCAACTCCTCGTAGCTTCCGCTGGCAATCGCTCCGTGGTTCTGTACATGTGCACTCCCGGCATCAGGCTGTTGGGCCGCGTGGCATCAGCTTGCGCGTCCAGCCGCTTGGCAATTTTCTGGCCCGGCTCCTGCTTGTGCAATTGTCTTGCTCTTTGGGTTTTTCCTTACAGGTGCTGGTCAGGTTTCCCCACCTGTGGGTCCTGGCTTGTGCACAGTCTGCCGACAGTCTGTGGCAGCTCCGCTTGCGAGCTGGCGTCGCTTGGGCGCCTCCTCGTTGGCTTCCGCTGGCATTCGCCCAGTGGTCCGCCGCATCCCTAATTATCTGGCTTTGCGCCCCATTGCCTACTGACACGCCCTCTGGACTTCTCCTTGCGGGCCGCAGATCAAAAAAAAAAAAAAAAACATATCCCCACCGGCCCATCCAGTAACGATGCCTAGGCGAATGGAGTTGATCAGGGAAGTGAGGGAACATACAGAGTAACAAAGGGTTGGGGAACCCGTCTTACCCAATACGGCGAGGATGGAGGAGGAATCGGAGGATGAGGAGGAGGAGGAACTGAAGGAGGAGGAGGGGGAGCGGGAGGAGGGAGGAGGGAGGAGAAGCAATAGGCGGATGATGATGATGAGGAGGAGGAGGAGGAGGAGGAGGAGGAGGAGGAGGAGGAGGAGGAGGAGGAGCAGGACGAGAATGAGGAGGAGGAGGAAAACGGCGAGCAAAATGGCCAGAGGCTTCTTGGATGCCTCTCGGAGTCTCCTCGGATGTCTCTTGGGAGCGTCCTGAAGGCCTATTAGGGCGTCTTGGGATCGTCTTGGCGGTCCCGGAGGCCTCTTGGGGCGTCTTGGGTGCCTCGGGGAGCCTCTCGGAGGCCTCTTGGGGCCATCTTGGGGCCATCATGGGGCCATTTTGGGGCCATCTTGGGGCCATCTTGGGGCCTCCAGGGCGCCTCTTGGGGCCATCTTGGAGGAGATCGATTAAAGAAAGGGAGGGTCCGGATTCGCCCTGCCCCTCTAGATCCTCTAAAATCGCCTCTTGGGCTCATCTTGGAGCGCTCTTGGAGCGCTCTTGGGCGCTCTTGGGGCCGTCTTGAGGCTCTCTTGGGCCCCTCTTGGGGCTATTTTGGGCCCTCTTGGAGCCATCTTGAGGCTTCGGAAGGCCATCGGAAGCGGAAGCGCAAGAAACCATCATTCATTGGTTTTCCGGAGGTTTTCGAAGGGTTTTGGCCTCTTGGGGGGTCTCCTTGGAAGTCTCGGAGGCCTCTTGGAGTCGTCTTTTGGAGCATGTGGGGAATCATCTTGAGGCATCTTGGGCTATCTCCAGCTTGAGGCATCTTGGGCTATCTCGAGGCATCTTGGAGGTCATCTTGGCCTCTCCGAGGCCCTTTTGGAACCGTCTTGGGCCATCTTGGACGCTCCAACGCGTCGCGGAACCCCCCGTCCAGGTCCAGGGGAGGGGGTTAGGGGGAGGGGTAAACCCCTCCCCGAAGGGGAAGGAGGGAAGATGGAAGAGGAAACTCCCTAAGCCACCTACGCCCACAGGGCTGGTGGGATTGGAGGGTTTTCGCGTGTCGGGCCCTGGGAGGCGATACTCGTTTGACATTGTTTCGATACTTTTTGGGTTGCTCGACATTGTTTCTGGGATGTGGTCCTGGAGCACGGCGGGCGCAACACAAGTCTTGCACTGCAGATTGCTTTGCGTGGCAGGCTTCTCGTTCCGCGTGCGAGCCGAAGGTGGGTTGGGAAGGGCCAGGGAGGTGCGAAGCGCGCAGCGCCAACCGCGACCACACAAGTTTTTTGTTTTTTTTTGCATTGCTGTTTTCTGTTGCGTTGCGTTTGTGTTGCAGTGCAGGTGTCCTGCACTGCCAGAGGCTGGCCAGGCCAGCCAGACAAACCAAACGCTAGACCAGCCCGACAGGCCAAACGACCAGAAACGAGAAGCATCGTTTTGTGCATGGAAGATGTGTTGCAATGCAGTTGTTTTGGCAGTGGAGTTTTGTAGCATTGCCAGAGGTTTGCCAGACGAATTAGCCAGACCAACCTTGCTGACTGGCCTGGCTGGCGCGTCTGGTGGGTCCAGTCTGTCCTTGCTGGCCCTTGCGGGTCCGACTCGTCTCATCTACTTGTTCTTCCTCGCTTTGTTGGTCTGGTTGGTATGACTGGCCGAGCTCGTCTGAATGATCCGGTCAGTCAGGTTGTTGTGGACTCCGACTGATCTGGTTGGCGTGATCTGGCTACCTCCAGCTGGCCCGTCTGGTTGGTCTGCCCTGGCTGGCTGGTTTGGTTGCTCTGCGTGGCACCGCACGTCTGGTCCGGCTGACTTGTTCGGTTTAATGTGTCTGGCTCGTCGTGGTTGGCCGATCTGGTGTGGCTGGTCTGGTCTGGGCTGGTTGGTCGAGTAATTTATCTGATCGGTCTGGGTAGTCCAGTCTGGTACGCCCGACTGGTCTGGTTGATCTGGTGGGTCTTGTTAGCATGGTGGGTATGATGGTCTGGTTCGGATGGCATTGTGGGTCTAGCTCGTCTGGATGATCGTCTCGGCATGCTTAGTTTGGGATGGGTGTTCCGATATCTGGTTGATCTGGCGTGGTTGGCCTGCTTGATCTGGCGTTGTTGGTCCACTAGGTCTGATTGGTCTGGTTGGTCTTTTCGCCAGGATTCTTTCAGGTGGTCTCATCGGTGTGGTCGCGCAAGTTCCTTCTCTTGTCAGGTTCGCTCGGTTGGTTTGGTTTGTTATGTTCGTTGGGTTGACCTTTGTTTTGGTTGTTTTGATTTGGCTGTCATTGTCTACTCTGGTCCGATTTGTTGAGTAGCTCATCTGGATTGCCCGGTCTGGTCTGGCTGGTCTGGTCTGTCTGTTTGGCTTTGTCGTCCGTAGTTGGTTGATTGGCTACTGTGACCGCTCTGCCTACTGCGCAGGACCTCGGCGAGGTCGATGAGCCGCAGCAGAAGCAGCAGCAGCGACGACATCATGACCAGCATAAGAGCTCGGAGGAGGAGCGATCCGAGGACGAGGGTAGGGAATAAGGGAAGGAAAAGGCTTGCAGCAGCAGTCATATCAGCTCTTATGCCGCAGAGCAAAGCCAAGCGCTGGGACCTGAGAGCGGTTCGCTTCTTAGCGTTGTAGACGATATATACATATCTACAGATATATTAGACATGTGTGTATATGCATGTGTGCAGATAGATGTATCCTTCTCCATATTTCCCGTTCCTCCTCCTCCTCCTGGGACGCTGGCGAAAACGCGACGATGACGCTGGCGGCGACGACGACGACGGCGACGGCGAGCAAAGGCGAACAACGGCGGCGAACGACGTCCACGACGAGGGCGACGGCGAAGACGAGTGGTCACGACGACGAGGAGCCGCGGGCGGCCGCCAGGCGGCTGCGCCCAGTGCTTCAGCTGCCTGTTCTGCGTCGGCGTCCTGGCCGTGGTCTGCTGGCTGCTGCACACGGGCGTCCTGCCGCTGCCCGGGCCTGCCGCCTCGGCTGCCGCGCGGTGTTTGCCACGTCTTCCCCTTCTCAGCAGCGACAAAAGGACCTACACGTACATGAATCCACGCTGGTTTCGAAAGTACGCATTGCGCAAATGTTCGTATAACGCGGCCGGTCTCGCGGATCGAAGGGTCGTGTTCATGTACATAGCTGGGCGAGGACGTCCTTTGTGGGCCCCCTATCCTCGGGGGAATGGACTGGGCGTCCGTTAGCTGGCGCGCGCTCGTTTCCTTTTCGGGCGTCCGTGCTCGCTCGTTCCGTCTTCGGGCGTTACGGGCACTCGTGAATGGGTTTCCACGCCTTCGTCCTCGGGCGTCTGTCAAGGGGCGTTCATTCCTGTCGGGCGTCCGTCGACGAGAGGGAGAAGCGGGAACCTTTCCAGCACTTGTTAAGGCCCGCGGTGGCATTAGAGAGGCTACTTAGGAAGGACGACCATTTCATCATGATTGGATTCATCCGAGACGAGTTATCGGGGAGAAGGTTCTCATGCACGAATTCGCCCGGATGAAATTGACTGTATGACCTCGTCCAGATGAATCTTTTTGCGGATGAACTCGTCTCTGGATTTGCTCTTCTAACCGGCAATGCTTGAAGGACTCCGTTCGGATGAACTCGTTTGTTCAGGAGTGTATTACGGATAAGGGATTTGGTCGAAACATGGTTGTCAAATGATATAAACCGGAAGTATTCGTCAGGAAGAATGTCTTCTGGATGCTCTCGATCCGGAAGGGTTCGCCCCAGAAGATCTCGCTTCGGATGAATCCTAGGCCTCCTGGATGGGGTCGGAGTAGATGGGAGCGGAGGATCGCGCCGCATCGCCGATGCATCGCCGATGCGGCTCGATGCGGAGCCCGACTTCCTCCACGTCGACGTTGCGCATGCATCGCCCACGTCGACGATACATCGCTGGCGCATCGCCGATGCATCGCCGATACATCGCCGATGTATCGGCGATGCGGCGCGATCCTCCGACCCCATCTACTCCGACCCCATCTAGGAGGCCTCTGTGAATTTGGCCTGAATTCAGTTGTCTCGGAGGAAGGCGTCCTGGAAGAATTCGTCCAGAAGATTTCATTCTGGGTGAAGTTGATCCAGCAATTCTCGCCCGGGAGAACTCGTCCCGCCAGAAGTCGTCCCAGAAGAAAGCGTCCCGGAAGAAAAACGATCGGATGAATCAGCCCAGAACAAGGCGTCCGGGGAAGAATTCGTCTAGCCGACGATGGTGATGACGAAGACGATGACGATGCCCATGTCGTCCACGATCATGACGATTACTGCTCAGACCCCATTCCACCGACCCCCAGACGAAGTGAGGCCTTGTGGGCGTATTGGTGGGCGCCTTGAAGCCTCGCTAGAGTCTCCTGGGCGCTTGCTGGCCGTTTCTTGGACGCCGTCGTGCGCATAGGATGCCTTGAAGTGTCCAGGTGCGTGGGAGGAGTGCCCGCCGAGTAGTCGCTACTCCGCGCATGGGGCTCACTTATCCTGCGGTTCTCTGCGCGTCAAGCATGACTCGAGATGCTCCTGGAGTGGCGTCGCGGACTGTCGATATAACCATCCCATTTGGGGATTCGGAGAATGAAGGAGAAAGATAAACATGATGAAACAAAGAGCGGCGACGGTGAGAGGAAGGAGTGAAAGGACGAGAATGTCGAGGACACCAGGGCCGCTTGTGATGTTGTATGGGCGCCGTTTGCGGCCCCCTCCGTGCACCTTGGGCGTGTGTGTGTGTGTGTGTGTGTCGGGGATTCGCAAGACTCTTGGGGGATTCGATTGAGCATTGTTGTGATCATGGCGAAAACTATTCTCGGGAAGCCTCTCTGCGGGGCGTCTCCACAGGTCGATCACGTTTCGACGTGGCTGCCCTTGCGCCCCTCAAACCTGTCGCCGCCAAGTGTCATAATCTTCCACGTCTGCCTCTTCCTTTTCCTATTCCTCCTTCTCTTCCTTCGTCATCCTCTCACTCCTCATCCTCCTCGTTTGGCCGAGCTGGGTCGCGCAAATGGACTTGTTTAGATGACATCGGCTCCAATGACGGCGTCTGTGTCGGAGTCGTCCTGTAAGAATTGGTCTGGATGAGCTCGCCAGGCTAAACACGTCCTGGTCGAATTAGTTATTGATGAATAACTATGTCCGGATGAACTCGGTCGGCCGAAGTCGTGTCGAGGTCGCTCGGGAGCTCTCCGCATCCCGGCCGATCGGAGTCTCCGAGAAGAGGTCGATCGCCGGATGAATTTGTCCAGAATCAGAATGTCCAGAGGTGATTCGTATGATTTTGTCTTCGGATGAGTTCGCCCTGGAGAAGTTGTCCGGATGAGCGCGCCCGGATAGTGTCGTCTCGGATAAGGTTGTCCTCATGAATCGGGGGTGGACAGAACCACCACCCTGACACGTCGATGATTGAATTATCCTTTTTCGGTTCTCGAGAGGGCGCTGCGGCCGTCGTTTTCCAGGCTCGCGCCCGGCAGATTTGGGCCCGAGGTCGTTTTCATTAAACCACGTTTTGCTCCAGGCGTACCGTCCATCCCCGAATGTCCGCATGAGACGGTCTCGAGAGAATCGTTAATTGGTGTCCTTAGGGCCCAGTTGTGGGTCCGCCCTCTCTGCATTCCGGGACCCCCCCCCCGCCCCCCGCCTTTGACACACCCTCCACCGAGCGCCCAATATGTGTGTGTTTGAGTGGTTCGGTATGCGAACGGGCCTGAGTTCTTTCTAAACGGTTGTCTAAAACGCCTTGGGTCGTTTTAGTTTTCCGCTTGCAACACCACCGAGCGGAGGAGGAAAAGGAGGAGGAGGAGGAGGGGACGAGGAGAGGAGGAGGAGGAGGAGGAGGAGGACGAGAAGGAGAAGGAGGAGGAGGAGTAGGGGGAGCGGGAGGGGGAGGGGGAGGGGGAGGGGGAGGGGGAGGGGATTCGGTGAGCGGCAGGGTTCCCAGTTCTCAGGTGTTTGGTTCCCGGGCCCTTGAGTTCCCGATTGTGGCAGCATCCTTGCGCTTTCAGATGCGGACCGGCAAGACAGCACAACGTAGTTGAACATATTAAAGAGCAGACAGCATGATGCATATTATCGGGCGCAGAGAGTAGAGAGCAAAGGGTGGAGCAGCGGGAAGTTGTTTTAAAGGGTATGCAGCAGCGTCCAGCGTGGAGGGTTGACCACATTGGCCATTTCTTTTTCATACCTTCCGGCACGTTGTCTCTAGAGTTGTGGCAGTCGGTTATATTGCCAAATAACTTCCAGATGTCCCAAAACATGTTTCAAACATGTATTCAATATGTACGACCATGATTGACAAATTTCTAGAACATGGTTTACACATTTTAAACACACTTTCAATTCAATGATCGGATTGTAAGAGTGTCCATTGTCATGACATCCATAACTCTAGAAGTATCGCATGAGCGTGTGATTGGGGCCTTCCACACTGTGTGGCAATACGTTGGCGGGCCCTCTTGCGGCGGAGAGCTCGACATGTTATGCCGAGTTACCTCGCTTGGGACACTCTTGGGGCCTTGATGGGGTCCTGGGCCGTATCTGGATGGGGCGCCTCTTGGGCCATTTTGGGTCCCTCCTGGACTGTTTCCGTGCCTTTTTGGCGGCATGTTAGACTTCTCTTGAGCGATCTTGCTGGACCTCTTGAGCCGTCATGGACCCTGTTAACTTTGAGCGTCTACGAGGTCTCCTGGGTCGTCGTGAGGCCATCTTGCTTGCTGTTTGACGGTTCCACGTCGCGTTAGAGCCCGATTTCAGACGTCTTGAATGGGATTTTGTTTCGATCCGGAGGCTCAGGAGTTCCCCAGGGTTAAGTCGGCCCTGTCCCTCTACAGGGGGAATTGTCAAAAACAGTCAACAAATAGTCTGGGGACAATGTTTGGAGTATGTTTGAACAAAACCCAATTTTGGATGTATCGTTGGAGTATGTTTGGATGTATTTTTGGTTTATTTTGTATGTCTCGTCCAAAACCCCCCTGTAGGGGGACAGGCGTGTCCTAACCCTAGGGAGCGTTGGCGAGCTGTGGCCCCCACCCCACCCCACGTCTACAGTCGGGGCGCTAAAGAAGGAACCCTTGTCGTTGGGGAGGGGCTCGGTGCTCCTTGATGGTTTTACAGGTTGCCTCAGGTTTTTCGGAGGTCTTCCATGGGAAGTCGAAGTTCAACTGATGGGAAAAAGGGGGCCTCGTTCCTTATTCTGGAGTCCTTAGGTCAGCGCCCCGACAGTAATGCGATGATGGATCCCAGGGGAGGGGGACAGCCAATCATCTCACACGCGTTTGCACTTCTGGCCAGCGGGGGGGGGGCGGATCTTGGTTTGACCAGCTCCCTCTTGCCTCCTGCTCCGCATCCTCACACTCCTACTCTTCCTGCCCCTCTCTTCTCTCCTGCTCGTCCCTCTCCTGTCAACCGCCCATCGGGCCCGTATGTTCAGCAGACCGGACATCCCGCACGCATGCTCTAGGAGGAACATCTTGTGAGGTATTCGCCGGAAGGATTCAGGAGGATGAAGCCCCATGGGGTGGCTGTTGCGCCAGATGCGGCCGCAAAATAAGCGGGAGCAAGCTGGATAAAGCGGGACTTAGCCGTTGTCTCTGAAGGAGGCGGCATAAGGGGACCCTTCTGGACGGGAACGAGGCGTCTTCGGGGCTCGGCGCGGACGCATAGCACAGCACACAGACAGGGCGGAGGGACGATAGGGGGAGAGAGGCAGGGACCCCCCCCCCCAAGGCCAAGCAAGGCGTTCGGGGGACACCTTCCGCCCCCCTGTCTTCAGGGGCAACGACAGCGAGGGATACACCTTAGGCGATGCTTAAGAAAACGTAAGTTTTCGGCCAGAGTCTCGATTATTCTTAATGTTTCAATGTAAATCCTAAGATTTGAATGGGCATTCTGGGTTTTTATTTAAATTCTGAGACTATCAATTTCTTAACCCATGATTTCTAAAGCATTTCGCAGGGTGTAGTCATAGAGGGGGGGATGCATCGACCCCCACTCGCCCTCTGATCGTCGGTGGGGGCCCGATGGCTCCAGCCTGCCCGGGAAGGTGCGGATGCAGCATCGGCGGCCCACCGCCGCTCCATCGGCGACGCATCGCCAAGTCGAGGTCAACGCATCCCCCCCGGGCGTTTCCTCAACAGGCCTGCCCTGTCTGATTCCTTCTCTGGGCGCGCTTACGAGACGTCTTCGCGTGTCGGGGTGGTCATTCTCGGGGTGGATTTTCTGTCCTCCGTGCCAGGCCTCCCCCGATCGTTGCCCCTCGCCTCTGTGACACCGCACTGGCGTGCTGGGCCGCCACCGCAGCCCGCCGCCTGGGCGCCTCCCTACCAGGGAGCACGGGCGGCGCCTGTGCGGGGAGGCGAGAGCGTGCCGGGGATGGGGGGGACGGCGTCTCGGAAGCACCCCGTGCGTCTTGGGAGGCGCGGGCCTCCTCTATCCGTCGACGCGCGCGGTCAGAGGAGAAACAGGTACCCATACCTCTACCCTTCGCCCGTTTTCCCCCTTCTCGGGCCTCCTGGGCGGCCCTCGTCGCCAGCGCTGCATTCGCCTCGAAATCATGGTCAGAACGCACCCCAGGAGAGGTCCGGGGAGTAGCAGTATCGGTACCTTTTGGTGTCCCCATAGACGCGCTAACGGTGTGCTAGCTAACGGCGAAGTAGGACATCCAAGTGTAGGAAGGCGCGGTTCGTGGCTTTAAACCAATTGCAGGAGCGCGTTTTTCCTGCAACTCGCTGTGCCGTTGTCGTTCGATGCCTTCGCAGATTTGAATCGTATGAAGCGGTGTTTCGTGATTTCCTACATTTTGTTCTGCGCGGGCTCGGTGTCACAAACATCGGGTTCCCAGCATCGCCGTGAACCGACAGCGCCGTTAGCGCGCCCTTGGCCTATACATGCAAGTCCGGCGCATTTTGGGAAGCAGCCCCCTTCTAAGAAGCTTTCCCCCCTCCCCTTTCCCCCCCTCTGCGCGCCGTCGAGTCTCGCCTCTGAGCTCGGGTCGTCCTGCTGCTGTCGCAGGGCCAAGAGAGAGCGCAGGCACGATCGCGATCGGGCAGGGCAGCGCGCGTCTTCAGTGGCACTCCTCCTGCACGCCGTTCGGCTGCCCCGAGTCGCCCCGCGCTGGTGCGGTCTGCCTCTGCCTCGCCGCCGACGTAAAACGTGTCGTTAGTGGCACGGGCTCCTCCAGTGCTCCTGAGGTCACCACCCCGCCCTCCCGCTGGGCCAGGGGGGGCAGCGCAGACCCAGCCCCCCGACGGCGAGTCTTTTTCGCAACGTCGGTCCCGCGAGGTCTCGACCCCTTCGCCCAGGGACCCGTTTGTCACCCTGCGTCTTCCGTGGACGGTCCCGAGGCATGGCAAGGGCCCCCAGAGGCCTGGGGAGGCAGCGAGGGCTGCAGAACAGGTGCCCTTTGGGGACCCTGCAGCGGCTATTTCGAGCCTGGGAGGAGGCCTGCAGGGCCAGAGAAGTGCGCCGGTCTTCCCGAAGCCTGGTAAGGGCCCCCAGGGGCCAGAAATAGATGAAAAATGTGGGCGTCGCGTGAAATGGAGGGGCGACAGATGGGGGGGCCTGAAAGGGTCGCAGAACAGGGGCCCTCCAGGGCCCCAGAAGGGGCCATTTCGAGCCCAGGAGGAGGCCTCTAGGGCCAGAGAAGTGCACCTGCCCCCCCCCCCGCCAATGTATCGCTTCCCACTTGAGCGACGCCCAACAAAAACCTCCTGCGGGTCGCGGGGGGAAATGCAGAGACTGGGGAGCAGCTGCAGTCGACTGGCCTTGGAAACCCTCTGGAGGCAGCGGGGGCAACGAGAGGGGGGGGACCGGCACAGGAGGGATGCATCGACCCCCAATCGCCCACGGATCGCCGATGGGGGCCCCATAGCCCCATCTCCTCCCAGGAGGGTGCGGATGGTTATCGGGGACCTAACGCCGATCTATCAGCGATGTCTCCCCCTATCGCCGATCTATCGGCGATGTCTCCCCCTGTATCTGTCGCCGATACATCGCCGACCTATCGCCGATCTATTGGCTATCGGGGTCCTATCGCCGATCTATCGGCGATGTCTCGCCGATTCCTTGTCGCGATATGTCCCCCCCCTCTCGTTGCCCCTCGGGGGAGGGGGCCGCCTGCCCCTGGAGAGACAGTTCTTCGGGATCCGCGGCGGCTCCTCTGACGACGACAGGCGCTGTGCGGCCTCCGCCCCCCCGCCACCCCAAGGGCAACGTCAGGAGGGGATGCCTGCGGTCCGGAGGGATGAGGTCCTGAGCGAGGGGGTCCTGAGGGGTGGGGCCCTCACCTAAGACAGTTTCCCCCCCCATCGTTGCCCCTCTCCCCCCCGCAAGCGGAAGGCCCGGCACGGAAGGCCTGGAAAGCCGCAGTCGCAGGTGCCGCGAGGAAACGAGCGCTCTTCCAGGGTCGGTTCGCCCGAGGAGAAGGAGGAGGAGAAGGGAGGAGGAGGGGTGGAGAAGGGGGGGGAGATGGGGGAGAAGGACGACCGAGGAGCTGGAGGAGGAGGTGGATGGGGATGGGGAGATCAGGGAAAGGATTAGGGATGCACGAGGACGAAGAGGGGGAGGAGGACGATGGAGGAGAATGAGGAGGAGGAGGGAAGAAGGAGAAGGAGGATGAGGGGGACAAGAAGGATGGAGGAGGAGGAAGAGAAGGAGGAAGAAGGAGGAGATGGAGGAGGAGGAGAAGGAGGAGGAAGGATGATGAGGAGGGGATTGAGAAAGAGGGAGTGAAGGAGACGGAGGAGAAGGAGGAGGATGAGGAGGAGGAGGAGGAGGGAGGAGGAAGGGCAGAAGCAGGAACGGACAAGATTGAGGATGAGGGAGTGGAGGAGGAGGAGGAGGAGGAGGAGGAAGAGGAGGAGGGACGGAGGAAGAAGTAGCGTCGCCCTCCCTCGCGACCGCGCCCTCCGAGCCTGCGAATATACGGTCCGCCCAGGGGGGTGAGTCGGCGGGGGGCGGTCCGTCTCGCCAGGCTCCGAAGGCCCCCAGCCTCCTGGGAGGTGTTGGAGGTGTGCTGAGCCTTCTCCGCGGCCGCAGAGGGGCTTCTCAGAAGCTTCCTCCCTCCTCCTCCTCCTCCTCCTCCTCCTCCTCCTCCTCCTCATCCTCATCCTCATCCTCATCCTCATCCTCATCCTCATCCTCCTCCACCTCCTCCTCCTCCCCCTCCGGGACCCGCGGGAACCCCACAGAGCCCGCCGCAGGACATGCAGGCCTATTCCTCCCTCCGCCGCCGGGCTTGGAGAGGCCCCGCCGATTGTCCGAAGGCATGCGTCCTCTTCCCTCGGGTATGGCCAGGACCCCAGGTAAGGGGACCCGGTTAGTGGTAGAGCCCTGGAGCCTTTGAGTTGGCCAGAGTCATTGAACCAGGCTTGCCACAGCTGGTGTTTTTTCGGGTGACGGCAGTTCCGGTTAGTGGAAATGGGATCCCATTTCCACTGCCCGGAACTGCCCGTCGACGGGCGGGCGCCCCTGGTACAGATCTCTAAACCAGGTTCCACTAAACCCAGTTCTGCCAGCGTCCTCTCCTCGGCGAATGCACGCTGACTGCGTAATCGTACAAACCCGGAGGTCCGCGCGGATGTCTTGGATCGGCGCTGGACTGCCCTTAGTGGCGGGCGGAGCGCGCCTTGGGCGGCGCTGGAGGCGCCGCCAGCGCCGATCCAAGGAACCCGCGCGGACCTCAAAGTTTTTACGGTAGGTTCGCGTCATGTCGACCAGCGGCGACCCCGACGCCGGCGTTCAACGTTGAGCGCCAGCGGCGGCCCAGAATCGGTCGATGTTGAGCGGTCCCCGCGGCGCCAAGAACCAACGCCCAGGTCGACACGGCACGAACCTGCCGCATGTTGATGCCATTGTTGTCTCCCCTCTGTGATGCCTGGTAGTTTCGGGGGTCATAACTCGGCTCTCGGGCTGCCATTCGGAATGATCCGGTCACCCCCGGAATGCTCTCGGCGAGGCGCAGCTGCTGGAACGCAGCCCGGGGCTGGAAAGCCGCCGCGGATGTACGACAACGCCCGGCATCCTCGAACCTCGGACCCGAAACTTCCACCCTCGAGCCCGAGCGCCTCAAACCTCCAGCCCCCGCGCCCGAAAAGACATCGGGCCTCGAGCCCGGCACTTCCTCCCCTCGAGGGCCCCCCCCCCGGGCGCGCAGCCGGTGCACCGCTCTGGGCCTCCCCGCCGCCCCTGGCCCTGGGCCGCCGAGGCAGCTGGTCGCGCCGGGCGCGGCCGTGGGCGGTCCCAACGCGACGGCCGCCGCGGACGCGGCGTCTTGTCGCCTGACCCTGGAGGCCGGCTGCCAGAGCGGGCGGAGCGGGCGGGCCGGCTAGCCTGAAGGCGGGCGTGTGCCTCGAGAGGAGGAGCCCTCACTGTGCGCCCGGGAAGAGCCCCCGTCAGCGGATGGTGTGAAGTGGGATCGACAAAGAGATCGAGAAGGAGATCAACTGGGAACCCCGGGAAGCCGGGAATCGGGAACCCACCGAAGTCGGCCCGGAACCAATAACCAGGAACCCGCGGGAACCCAGAACCCGGGAACCCGGGAACCCAGCCGGCCACCCAAATCGGCGGGACCCTTTCGCTTTAAATCTTTCAATCTCCGGCTAGGACCCCTTCAGTGCAAGCACTGATTATGGAAAAAAGAATCAGAGATAGTATGGGGACTAGGTTTGGATTTTTGTTGGGGGGAATGTTTGAATTGTTCTATACTTTGTTTCATTGTTCTTCCCAAGCCCGCCTGCAGGAGGACATGCCCGACTTACGGAGGAGAAAGGTATCCATTCTGCTACCCTTTGGCCCTAATCTTCCGTTTCAGGCCTCCCAGGAGGCCCTCGTCTTTTTTGCCGGCTTCGCTTCGAAATGATGGTCAGAACGCACCCAGGGGGGGGTCCGGCGATGGCAATGGAGAGAGAGATGGAGCGATACATAGATGGAGCACCCCGCAGTTGCGGACTGACAAGAGTGATGGGGGCGGTCGCGGGTGTGTCGCAGAGCGGGTCGCGGAGCGGGACGACAACAACGAACAAACAAACAAACGCGCAGAATCCGCGCCGCGGAGTTCTGCCTCAGCCACGCGCCCAGGGAGAGTGAATGGCCGTTCGCCCCCTTCGTTTCAAAACACTTCTATGTATGCAGAGAGAGATAGACAGAAAGGGAGAGAGAGAGAGAGAGAGAGAAAGAAAGAAAGAAAGAGAGAACTAAAGAATTAGAGAGATAACAAAGCAACTGAAAAGAGGGAGACAAAACCATAAACTGTAGAACTACGAAAGGCTAAGAAGCAACGAGAGGGAACGGCAGCACAGAGGGAGCGAGGTCGAGCGAGGGAGGGGAGCTGCGCCCGCAGAACCAGCACGGGCCTTGCCGTGACTCCGATGGTGTCCCGAGGGGGACGGGTCCTCCTGAGGGGGCTCGCTGCTGGCGGCCTCCCGTGGGCCCGCTCGAGGCCCAGAGGACCGATGCAGCACCGGGCCAGGCCGGACAGCTGCCCACAGGTCGTTGCAAGCAGGTGTCCTTGGAGTCCCAGGTTCCAGCCCATTTCCAGCGCCTTCCTCCCCAATGAGCGGGGGGCTTCACATTCTCGAATGGGGTGGAGAAAACCTCCACCCTGGCACGTCGATCAGCGAGTTGTCCGTTTTCGGTTCTAGAGAGGGCGCCGCGGCCGTCATTTTCTAGGCTTGCGCCCGCCATGTTCGGGCCCGAGGCCGTTCTCACGAAGCCACGTTTCACTGAAAGGGGTATCTGTCCATCCCCGATGTTGCTGGAGTCTCAGATTCCAGCTTATTTTCAGCGCCTTCCTACTCGATGACCGAGTGGCTTCACATGTTCCGTCCCCTTTAGGGGGCGGGCGGGCACCCAATCTGCTTTCAACGCCTTCCTACTTCTTGCTCCTGACTACTGCTTCCGACCGATGGGCAATCCTGGGGGAAGGCCTCCAGGGACCAGGACTCCTCAGGATCCCTCTCGTCCAGGTCAAAAGGGGGAGGTCGGGTCGGGGCAGCATTGAGGAGTGGACCTCGGGGGGAGAGCGAAGTGGAATTCTAGAGGGTAACTTGGCTACTGTTCTGTTACGCTGCAAGGGCCACGAGGCGGAGGGGGAAGAGGAATCAGGCGATCGCACACATGGATCAAGGGGGCGCGGATTAGCGACGGGTCCCGTTTGCATGGGAAATCGCGGATTTCCGCTGCTGAGCGAAGCGGCACCGGCCGCATTTTGGGGAGCGTACCTCCCCCGATCCATGGATTTGGCGACCGCGCGCCAAATCCATGGATCGCGAATCCATGTTTGCGCACCCCCGAAGGAAGAGAGGAGAAAAGAGGAGAGGACTAGGTGGCGGAGGAATAGGAGGCGGAAGAATGGGGCTCAATCGCCCAGGACCCCGCTCTCACAGGGAAGAAAGAAGGGTCGGCGGGGCAGAGGTAGGAGGGCAGAGACGGGACAACTGACCAACCGCACGCCCTGGTGTCCGCATCTCCCCCCTCCAAGCTTGGACTATCAGCCAGTCGAGCAAGTACCACTTTCTGCCCTCACCGCAAAGCAGAGGCAGTCAATTCCCTCTGGTCGGGTCGCCAGCCTCCAACACGACCACGTGCAGCGTCGGTCATCACTCAAACGGCTTCGGGATCCCAGGATGTCAGCGGCAACATTTGTTGCAGGTTCTGCCGCGAATTGACCCCCCCGTGTATCGAGGATGCCTCTGGCGAATCACGCTGCCCCCCCAGCCTCCCGGAACCGCCTAAGCGGTGGCATGTCGGGCGCTACGGGGTATTCTCTGGCCTTTTGCCCTTTTCGGGGGCCGTTGGGGGGCTCTTTGGTGCAACCCTGCAGGTCGGGGATGTCCTGGGCCGTCGTGGGGTGCTTCGGGCCGTCTGCGCCTTCGGAGGCCGCCTTGGGGGCCCAGCCAGACCGTCCGAGGGACCACATCGGGGCGCCTTAGGGGCTGCCCTGGCGCGGTGTTGGGGCCAGGCGGTGCAAGCTATGGCACACCCACGGAGGCACTGGGGGGGGGCCCAGCGCCGGCCCAGGGATTCCTCACCGACCTCCGAAGGCCGGTGGTCGTGCCACATGCTCTGCGCCTCCAGTCCGGGGAGGAGAACTGCCATGGTGCCCACGTCGCAGAGCGGATCTCGTTCGAGAAACAAGGCGACGGGCCTGGGTGGTCCTGGAGAATTTCGTTCCGGGTTTCGGCGTGAATTTTGTGCGGTTCTTCTTGTTGGCCAGGAATGAAGACTGCAAACCATCCGCGTGAAATTCAGTTCGTGTTTCGCTCGCCGTTTCGGGGGCTTGTGTTGACAGATATCCACGCAGAAATCCGCTGCAGCACGTCTACACGGACGGTGCAGTGAGAGTTGCCGGGAGGAGGTCGGGGGCGGCAAAGAGGGGGGGCATGAGAAGGGGGGGTGGATATCATGGCGTGGGCCATGATATTTCCCAGATTTGATGGCGCCTCTTCTTGTTTCATTACGTACCTGCCCCCCCCCGCTGGGCCGCGCACATGCCGCCGGTCATGATTTGCACCCCCCCCCTCTTGGACACCCCCCTCTTGGCCGCTCCCGACGTTGACAGGGCCTGGATTGGGCCGCGCTGTCCGCGAACGTGACCAGCATGATGGAGGTCCAGGAGGCCATCAAGGAAGCCGGCCGCATCGGCAACGCCATGTGCAGCTGAGATCGCTCGGTCCCGTCAGCTTCTCTTGGGAGGGCTCGTTGGCGCGCGGCGGATGCTCCGGGGGACCACCCTGTTCCCTGAGCTGTTTTTGTGGTATGGGTGCGCCCAGTCGAATCAGTGGGAGAAAAAATCAAGGAAGTTGCTCGCGTCAGTCGCAGAGGATGCTGCCTTGACATGCGGCCGGGATCTCTCCCAGAGGGCGCGCCGCTCCGCGGGTGCTGGCCCACCACGCCTCGGGCGCGACACGCTGCCCGCGTGCCGGCCTCCAGGCGTGAACGCCCCGAGCTCTTCCCGGCCTCCCGCCCCGTGGTGCGGAGCGACAGGCTGCAGTCCGGGCGCCGAAAAGGCAACCCTTTTCGTTGGGGAGGGGCTCCGAGTTCCTCGATTGGTTCGCAGCTTGCCTCAGGTTATCCTCAGGTTTTCGATGGGGAATTGGAGTTCAGCTTATGAAGAAAAGGAGCCTCGTTCCTTACGTCGGTTTCCTTGGGTCAACGCCACGACCGTACCCCCCTTCAGGGCACACCGTGTCGGACTGGGGCCGCCGCAGCGACGCGCTAAGCAGCAGTTACGGACGGTACACCGTCTTGGGTCCACGCGGGTTTTTGTGTATCGGCGAAAGACCGCCCCGCCCCTGCCTTTGTCCATCATGGTATGTGGCTAGACGGAGGAGGAGTAGGAGTAGGAGGAGGAGTAGGAGGAGGAGGAGGGGGAGGAGGAGGAAGGAGGAGGAGGAAGTAGGAGGAGGAGGATGAGGAGGAGGAGGATCAGAGGAGGAGGAGGAGGAGTAGGAGGAGGAGGAGGAGGAGGAGCAGGAGGAGGAGGGAGATGAGCTCGTGGATGAGGAGGAGGACGGCGAGGAAGGGCAGCGTAAGGCGTGGAGGGTGCGGATTGGGGCAGCGGAGAGGAGGGGCAAGGTGCAGGGTCAGAGTTTGGGACGTGGGCAGGATCTCGACAGCAATCGAACTCGAAGGGGCCAGGTACGGAATGAAGCTGGACAAGGAGAAGTTCGAAGAAGAAACAACAGCTTAAACATAAACTTTTGGCGCAGCTCGCGCATTTCTTGGATCCACCTCGGGCCCGCCCGAGCGGCGCCTCTGGCGCCTGGAGGGCGCTCCAGCGCGGATCCAAGAAATCCGCGCGGAGCGCCACAAGGTAATGTTTATGTTGTTTGTGTTTTCTTCTTCTAGGCATGGCATCAAGCTGGACAATATGAAGTGCGAGGTCGCTGCAGCCCGCGGTCATCGCAACATGCATTTGGCTGAGGGCACCGTGTTCAAACGCACGGACGAGGTAAGATACCTGGGATGCCGTCCGGGCGAAACGTGCGACGGCGCGCGGGAAGTGCAAGCACGAGTTGGGGCTGCATGGCCACGTTGAAGAAATGCATTTGCTCAGGCAACACAGCAGATGCCCCGTCGGATTCAAACTGCAAGGGCATGATGTAGCCATCAAGTCCAAGCTTTGTACGGATTCGAATCAGCCCAGCACAGTGAGTCGACTGGGCGCAATTCAGCTCAAGTGGCTCCGCAGAACCTCACACATGCAAGCGACATACGCCAACAAAGCCAACACGAGTGGACGAGCTTACGAAGCGGCCGAAGACGCGCTCCGAGAACACAAACCCATCATCAAGTTCAGCGCAGCGCGCGCCAGGAACAAGTCGTCACCCTACCAAGCCACAGTCCAAGCTGAGCCCGATCACCCTGCTCATGGGACGCACTGCAGCCCCAGCAGCAGACACAGGAGGGCAGGCATCCCCCAGTTGAACTGCGCGGAGGAAACCACAGCTGAATCTTGGAAAGCTATTCGGGGCTCGCTGCCGCCAATTCTCGGCTTCGCATATGTCGATACGACGAACCCTCTCCACACACAAGCCATCCGAAATGCCGCCCAAAGGCAGTTACTACTTGACCGTCGTCGCCACCCCGATGTCGTTGGTTTGTTCTCCCTTTTCTCCTCTTGCCCCCCTACCGTTCCCCTCCCTTGCATCCCCCGGGGTGTTCGAAGGGATGCAGCGAGACAGCCAACACGCTCCGCCAGTTACGCGCCGTGACACTGGCAGCGTTGGGCGCGGAAGCGCGGTGTTCTCGCAGCGCACCAGCAACAATGCCATTGACGTGTCTCGTGGTTGTTCCCTCACTCCTTGCGTTTTCCTTTCCCCTCCCTCCCACTTTTTCTTTGTTTGACGTTGCTTCACCCACAGCTGGAACTCCCTGGGCCGCCCTTCCGCAGCGCCTAGCGCCTCTCTGTAGGCCTGCTTTCTTTGTCCATTGGTATTGTCTGCCCGGAACGCCGAATGTTGGGCTCGATGCGACGGGGGGCGGCACAGCATGGGATCGGCAAACAAAAAAAGACGTCTGGCATTCCCCAGCTGGTGCCAGCCCTGGCGGAGGTGATTGGTACGTTTCTGCTTCTACTCGTGGCTTTTATGCTCTCTGGCGCGCGCTCCCCCCCCTTTTCAGGAGGGCGTAGCGCCCACGCTTGGGGTCGACCTGGCCGACGTGGAAGTGGATCTGTCTCCGGCCGCGCGTTTTGCTTCTTGCCTCCGCTTGTGTCGCATGTGCTCTCGGGCCAACACCGACTTGAACGGCGTGCATGTCTTGCCACATGGTCTGTCCCGGGGAAGGGCACGGGGCCAGAACCCCAGAGGCTTTCCACGCGGGCCCTCTCCTCTGCCCCTGCATCTCCCAGCTTGCGCGCGGAAATGGGATTAGTAGCTGGTCCACTCAGCCATGTACCCATCGGTCGTTGAAGGAGATATTTGTGCATCCCCAGATTACAATCTACTATGAGCGCCTTCCTACTTTAACGATCGAGTGGTTTCCCCCTCCTCCGTCCTCCTTATGGGGGCGGTCGGGCTCCAATCTATTTTTCAACGCCTTCCTCCTTCATGCTTTTTACCCATCTCTTCCAGCCGGCGGGTATCCTCTGGTCCACTCGGCCATGTGCGCCTGATTCCTGCCGCGCGCAGGCGAGATCAGCTCGCGGGGGCGCGGCCGGCGTGGGCACGCCACGGGTCTCCAGTGGACGTGTAAAACAAGGCTAGGATCGGGATAAATCGCTCCAGAGCGTTCCGGAGCGCTCTCAGAGCGTTCCGGAACGCTCTGGAGCGGCCGCGGCGCCCAATACATCCTCCAAACCCGCCGATTCTCAGAGATTTCGAGTTATCCCGATCTGATTTTATCCCGATCTCCGCGTCGTTTTAACGTGGTCCTTCTTTCGGACCCTGGCAAGAGTACTTCCTCCAGATTTCGTAATAAAAAGGGAGGGGGCCACGACCCTCCCAGGCCACAAGCTTTAGACCCCCCCCCAGACCATCCACGAGAGGGCGGCACTCTGCCCAGACCCCCCCTAACACTCTTCAAGACAGCTCGAATCAGACCCCCCCGCCAAATGTACCCCCCCCTACTTTATCATGGGATCCGGAGTACATTGGAAGAGGGGGGGGAGCGCGGAGAGAACCGAAAGGAAGGCTGGACTTCCCGCAGGTCGGGCCTGACTTGCACCCGTTTTGGGACTCGCGTTGCTGAAAAGGGCGGCGGGGGGAGGGGGAAGGGCCTGCCTGCAGGTAAGCCTGCTGGAGTCTGCAGGACAACGGCCCCATGAAGGGAGTCAAGACCACCCAGACCCGACAACTGGCGTTTATCAACCGGCCCGCCCTGCCCTGCTCGATTCCTTCCGTGGGTAAGTCTACTTCTCGGCCTCGCCTGTCGGGATGATTCTCCTGGGTCTTTCAAGTCTGAACAACTTCTGCCGTCCTTCGACCCTGGAGATCTCTGGATGTACTTGGATTTGCCAGGATTTACCCGGATTCACCTGGATGTACGTGGATTTACCTGGATGGACCTGGATTTCTTTAGATGTCTCTGGATTTACCTGGATTTATCTGGCTCGATCCCCACAAGTCGACTGGCGAAAAGTCGACAAGCCTTTCGAGACTGGGGGGTGGATGTTCTGCCCTCCAAACTGGCAGGGTGTCGCAGTTGCGCAGAGCTCGGGGGTGGACAGACCTCCTACCCTGACACGTCGATTAAGGAATTGGCCGTTTTCGGCTCGCGAGAGGGCGTCGCGGCCGTCATTTTTGCGGGTCCAGGTCCGTCGGTTTCGGTCCCAGGCCGTTTTCACTAAGAGGAGGTCTACTAAAGGGAGGTTTGTCCACCGCCGAAGAGCCCTCCTGCGGGAGTGTCCCGCACCTGGCCGAGCCAGGGGCCTCCTCACAGACCCCTGGGCCCCCCCCTCCTCCTCTCCTCCTCCTCCTCCTCCTCCTCCTCCTCCTCCTCCTCCTCCTCCTCCTCCTCCTCCTCCTCCTCCTCCTCCTCCTCCTCCTCCTCTCCTTCCTGTCCTCCTCCTCCTCCTCCTCCTCCTCCCCCTCCTCCTCCTCCTCCTCCTTCTCCTCCTCCTCCTCCTCCTCCTCCTCTTCCTCCTCCTCCTTCTCCTCCTGAGCCGGAACGATCCCCCCCCCCTGGCGTCTGGCTCGGCGCCCCGAGCGGGCCAGCATCGGACGTTGGGCTAGGACGAGGATCAGGAGGGGGAACAACACACACACAGACACATACGCAGACACAAGGAATCGTCGATCCCGAGCAGTGGGAAATGGAACGTGGGGAAACATCCAGGAACCTATGAGAAAAACATGTTGGGAGTCCTGGGACTTGTGTCTGTTCATTTGTGTGTGTGTGTCCCAGGGCCCCATTCAGAGGATAATCCGTTCCAGAGCGTGCCGGAACGCTCTGAGAGCGTTCCGGAGTGCCCTGAGGAGGCCGCGGCGCCCGAGACATCCTGCAGCGCCGCCGGACCTCAGAGATTCCCGGTTCATCCTCACACGAATGTATCCCTGCGCACGCAGGGACGAAGACAAGCACACCTCCTCCCCTGTACTGAGCCCTACTGCATGAGACTCTCGGTTCATCCTCGCACGATGCTGCCCTCGTCCTGGCTTCGTCCTGGGAGTGTCCCAGGGACCCGCGAGAGTGCGCTGACCCAGAACCTTCTCCTGCGCACGCGCAGCGGGCCTGGCGCAACAAGGGGGGCGAAGACGGGTGCCCCACCTCCCCTGGCGAGGAGCCTTACGGACAGAGGATAGGGGGGGACAGGAAAAGTCGGAGGTTGATAGACCTCCTACCCTGACACGTCGACTAGCGAATTGGCCGTTTTCGGTTCGCGAGAGGGCGTCGCGGCCGTCAGTTTTGCGGGTCCAGGTCCGTCGGTTGCGGTCCTAGGCCGTTTGGGTTCGAAGGGAGGTTTATAAAGGGTTGTCCACCGCCGATACGGGACGAAAAGGAGCCCTCATGGGGCCCCCTGGGGCCCGCCAGGAGCACGACGAGTGCACGTTTTCGGATGGGGCGGGGGCGAGGACGAGGGTAAATTTGAGTCGGGCACGTCCCTCTACAGGGAAAGTATTCACAAATAGTCAAAACGTAGTCTGGGAACGATTCTTGGACTATTCTGGATGATTTTTGACAATTTGCAGATTATGTTTACTTTCTCTTTTGAAGTCCGCCTGTAGGAGGACATGCCCGACCTAAGGATAAATCCGTTCCCGAGCGGTCCGGAAGCTTCTGAGAGCGTGCCGCCGCGGCGCCCGAGACATCCCCCAGAGCCACCGGTTCTCAGAGATGCTAGTTTTTCCCTACCTAGGCTCTGCCTAGAAGGGTTCTTACTCTGTTTGCTTAAAGGGCCGGGCAGTGGGGCCCGCCCCGGGCGGTTCCCCCAGTATCCGCCCCGCGGTTCCCCCAGTCCCCTGGGAGCTTTAGCTTTATTTTTAGCTTTAGCTTAGCTTTAGCTTAGCTTTAGCTTTAGCTTTAGCTTTAGCTTAGCTTTAGCTTAGCTTTAGCTTAGCTTTAGCTGATATTTAGCTTATATTTAGCTCAGCTGTAGCTTAGCTTTAGCTGTAGCTTAGCTTTAGCTTAGATATAGCTTAGCTTTAGCTTAGCTTTAGCTTAGCTTTACCTTAGCTTTACCTTAGCTTTAGCCTAGCGTGAGCTTAGCTTTAGCTTAGCTTTAGCTTAGCTTCAGTTTAGCTTTAGCTTAGCTTTACTGTAATGCTGCTTTCCTAGGGGTTCCAACTCCCAGGTAGGGTCGCACTGGGATAATTATCCTCACGCGATTTTGCCCTCGACCTGGCTTCGTCTTACGTTTCCCCCCCCCATTCATCGCCCCCTCCCCCCCACGGAGCAACGCCCAAGCACCGGCGGCAGGAGCAACAGATACGTTGCTTCTTTGCACCACGCTGTGTCTCCCGTCGTTGCCGCACTCGCACGCCTTGGCCTGCAGCAGAAGGGCCCGGATCCGAGACGGCCCGACACTCAGCCCGTCACGGACAGCAGCGGACATGCTTCGGGAGGGGACGTTCAAGGGCGAGAGCAGGCAGAGCAATACCCATCGCTTGTTGACAGCAGTACGTACCTTTTGTATCCCCATATTCCCATCTACTTTAGGCGCCGTCCTACCCGAGGAGTCGAATTGTTTTCCTTCTCCTTCCTGCTCCGGAGGCGGGCGGAGACCCAATTCTACGTACGGCGTAGACATAAGCTGTCGGAGGTCCGCGCTGATTTCTTGGATTCGGCGCTGGGCCCCCCTGCTTGGCGCCCAGAGCGCGCCAGGGGGCTGCGCCAGAGGCGCCGCCATGGGGCGCCGGCGCTGAACAAATCCGCGCGGGCCTCCGAAAGCTGGAGTTTGATGTCCTCCACCTCCTCCTCGTCCTCCTCCTCCTCCTCCTCCTCCTCCTCCTCCTCGGGTCGCCTACGGCCCCGGGGGAAACCGTGCAAGTGACGGCGCTGGATGAGCAGGCCAGGGGACGGCAATGGCGGTCCGCCAACACGCAACAGGCGTGTTGCGTTTTCTGCGCTGTGTGAGCCCTGGCAGAGGGGTCACCACCTCAGTTTTAAGTCGGGCGCGTCCCTCTACATGAGGAAAATTCAAACGTAGTATAAGCATAGTCTGGGGACGATTGTTTTATTTGTTTTGACAACCTTTGGGCATGTTCGACTATGTTTTATTTTTCCTCCAGACCCCGCCTGTTGGAGGACACGCCCGACCTGACCTCAGCTGCCTCGACACGCCCGTTTCGAGACGCAGGTGGGAGGACACAAGACGAGGCCAGCTGCCTACCCAAGCGCGGACGGCCGCGCGCTGCTTCTCAGGGCACCCAGTGGTGCAGCTATACGGGTCCACCAGGGTGCCCGCTCATCCTCCTCTCACCCTCCTTCCCCTCCTCCCCCTCCTCCGCCTCCTGAGGGTGCAAGCCCAACTTGTCTGGCTGATGCTCTTGGGGGGGTGGGGGGGGCTGTGCTCAGGGAAGGCTGCAGCACCGCCCCCGTCCTGTGCTGTCAACCAAACCTGCAGGGATGGCCCTTTCCATTCCTCTGTGCCTCTGTGCACTTCGGCTTCGGCTTCAGCTGTGGCCAGCTCACCCGGGTTGGCTTTTCCGCTCGCACGGGTGCTCCTCCCCCTCCATCCGTGGCCAGGGCCAGGGCCAGCGCTGCTCTGCGGAGGGCTGCGTTGGGCAAAGTGCCAGGCAGTGGCATGCAGTGCGTCTGGTACGCAGTGGCATCGCTAAGCCTTGCGAGTGCTCGGCAGCATTGCTTGCGAAATCAGGCTCGGCCAGCTGAGAGCTGAATTGGGTTCCCAGCGTGCCAGTCCAGTCGTCAAGCCATTCGTTTCACGCCCAGTCATGCGTATTTCTTGTGCGTTTGTGGAGTTTTTGTTTCTTGTGTGTGTGTATGTTTTGTCCCCATTGCTGGCAACCGCGCCCGCTCCCGCCCTGGGGAAGGGAGGCCACCAGGCTTTGACACTGACCGTCTTGCACCCTTGCCCCCTGGGGTGGTACCTTCCCCCCCACTGCGCCCCGCCCCCGCTGGCCCCCTGGTGCAGCAGCCGCCGCGGGCCCGTCGGCGGGGCTGGCCGCGCCAAACGCTCGAGGCGTGACCCGTCCCCTGGGCGGCCTCGCTCCCCCCCCACCCCCTCTTTCGGCCGCTTCCCTCTGCTCTGTCCCCTCCTCCTGCACGGTGGCACAATTCTCGCTCCAACGGCACCCCTGTTGAGGTAGCCCTCCGCCAGCGCAGTTACTCTGCCTAGCCGCCGACGCAAGACACATATTGTTTGTCCCCCAATCCATTCGTTCCGTTCACGTCCAGTCGTGTGTATTGTGTATTTTTTGTGCGTGTGTTCGGGATGTTTTTTTTTTGTGCGTTTGTCGTTTGGCATTCGTTCGTGTTCGCGCTGTGTTGGTGATTGCTCGCGTGACCGTGGTGTGCGTCATGTGTATTTTCTTTTGTTGTTTGGATATATTGTGTGTTGTTGCTGTTTTGTTGTTTGCTTGCTTGTTTGTTTGTTTGCTTGGTTTGTTTGTTTGTTTGTTTTGATGTCTTGTTCGTATCGTTTGGTGCCCTCCGCGGCCCCAGGGCTCCGTGATCGCGGACCTCGCCATCCGCCCCCCGGCCAACGCCTCAGCGGCCGGCCTGCAGCAGCAGCTGGCGGCGTCCTCGCAGGAGCGCCGCGCGCATCGCCCCCCCTCTCTTGATGGGCCTGCTTTCCACCACCACCACCACCATAACTTGGATGGGGTGGAGGGGGTGGAGGATGATGATGACATGATGATGATGCTGATGCTGATGCTGATGATGATGATGATGGTGGTGGTGATGATGATGATAAGATGAGGAGGAGGAAGAGGAGGAGGAGGAGGAGGAGGAAGAGAGGGAAGACCCCCTCCCCCTCCAACTTGTGGAGTTGGTGGTGGAGAACAGGCCCATCATTCCCAGCGGGCCGGCGGCGACGATGTGTTTCGAGTATTTTTCTGATTATGTTTGAGCATGTTTGGGGCTAGTGACTAGTTGTCTTCCAAATTCTGTCTGTAGGAGGACATGCCCGACCTCATTCTAGATTCGGCGACTGCAAGCCCAGACTCCCTGGCGTTGTGACAAGTCACGGCGGGAGCCTTTTCTGTATTTTCGCCCCCTGGGTGCCCTTCCTGGGCTCCGGGACAGTCAACAGACTATTCAGGATGACGAAGTCCAGTCCAGGGGAAGGGGTCGAGACCTCTGGGGGTCGACGTTCTGACAAAAGTCACGGCGGGCTCGCCGCCGACTTGGTTACGCAGGGGTGTGGTTTGCGATCGGCGCCGTTGGGGCCTGGGGGGCACGACGCTGTCCTCGTCGGGCCTCCCTGGGGCGCGGCGGAGAACTCTAACGAGGTCCCAGCCACCCCCCCTCAGGGTGCCCCCTCAGGGTGCCTGTTGCAGGCCACACCCTTTTCAAGCCGCTCCCCTTGGAGTCGCCGATCGATGACCTTAAAATCGCTTGTGGCGTTGCTGCGTGTGGGGGAGTGTGTTGGCCGCTCGGACCGCGGGTGAAATCCGCACGCATGCAGAGCAATTGCATAGCATGAGTTTGTCTGTTGCAGGTCGACTTGTGCGGTGTTACCGAGTTGCCCAGCGACGTTTTGAATCGCGATGTGGTGGGGCGACCAGTGATGTGTTGCGAGAAGAATAAGAACGTTGGATGCGTCGCTTGTCATGTTCAAAGCCGACTTGTTCAGTCCGTGTCGAGCGCCGTTGTAATCACGCGGTCAGATCGTTTTCTTTCTATGCCGGATGCGTTTTTTTGTACTTGTGCAGGTATCCAAAATTTGTCTGTCTGACGTCCAAATGTCCTACATTCCAGGGTGTCGTGTTTTTATCATGCTTGGTCGAGTCAAGAGCGAAGCTTGGACATCGGAAGACCGCCAGACACGGTTTTAAAGAGGAGCGGGGACGGCCAGCTGCGCGTGAGGTCGATCAGATCGGAATGGGTACGGAAAGACTTGGTAATTTCACCAGAGAAAAAACCCAATCAGTGGATGGTTTGAGATCGATTAGGAGATCGACCGGGAACCCGGGAACCCCGAACCCACCGAAATCGGCCCAGAACCAATAACCAGCAAAACCGGAAGCGGGAACCCGGGAACCCAGCCGGATCGGCGGGGACATGTTCGCCAAATCTTTCAATTTCCGCTACTTGCGGCCCCTTCCGTGCAAGCCTGGGTAATGACGAAGACTGGAAGACGTTTTGTTTGTTTCTAATTTTGAGCAGGGCTCGCGGTCGGCGTAGCCGCGGCCGCTGCCCCTCCTTCGAGGCAGGCCGCGGCCGCTGCCCTTTCTTTGAGGCAGGAGGCCGCCTGCCTAGCAGCGGCCGCTGTCTCTTCCGGGTACCTCTTGCTGTTGGGCGACGTACCCTTTTTTTGTTCGTACCTTGTTCGGGGGTCCACAGCATCGGTGGCATGTAGGACCCACTCGTACCGCTCGGGGGAATGTGGGGGATTGTGTGGCATCGTACCTGTTTTTTTGTCCGTATCCATTTCGTATCCATTTCGGGGAAGTGTCGGATTCGAGTAAGCCAGAACTTGGATTTGCCGACGTTTTTTGTCTTGTCCATTCTGAGCAGGGCTCGCGGTCGGCCTGGCCGCGGCCGCTGCCCCTGCTTTGAGGCAGGAGGCTGGCGGCCGCCGTCTGTTCCCTGGGCACCACTTGGTGTTGGGCGTCGTACCCCTCTCTCCAAAACATTAGTGCTTGCACTGAAGGGGTCCTGGCAGAAATGGCAAGATTTGGCGAAAGTTTCCCGCCGATTTTGGTAGCCAGCTGGGTCCCGGGGTTCCCTGTTCCGGACTCTTGGGTTCCTGGCTATTGGTTCCGGGCCGAATTCGGTGGGTTACAGGGTTCACGGGCTCTTGGTCGATCTTCTTATCGATCTCTTTATCAATCGCACGATTCATCAAACCATCCATTGTTTGGGGTTTTCCTCTGGTGTAATTGTTCGTACCCATTTCGGAGGTCCACAGCATCGGGGAAACATAAAACTCGAGTAGGCCAGAACTCGGATCTGCCGACGCTCTTTGTGGCGAGCGCGTCCTGTGGTCTTTGGACGGCCCAGGTTTCGTTGGGTGTCTGCAGTGGGAGCTCGCGTCAAAGTTCAGACTGGGTCTCGTCGTTTGCATGATTCAGACACGGGCAGAGGGGGGTGTAGGGGGAGGAGGGAAGGTTTCTTAGAAGCACCCGTGCTTCTTAGAAGGTACGGGCCTGTTCTACTTAGAGATGCAAGGCCCGCGACTTGTAAGAAGCAGCCTCCTTCCAAGAAGCCTTCCCCCCTCCCCGCCCCCCGCCTGGCGATGTAGCGGGCGTGAGCGGTCACGTCACGCTTTGAGCCCGCGCTGTGAGGGAGCGCTTACCCGTCGGTCGTTGAAAGTAGGCAGTTCAGGAGGGGAACAAAAACACACAAACACAATTAATCGGCGATTCCCACGAAAATTTAGGAAGGGGTGAGGAAGACGAAGTCATAGAAAATATGTGGAAATATGGGAAATCCTCGGATTTGTGTGTATTTATGTGTGTGTGTGTCCCTGGGCCGCTTCAGTAGTTCTGGATTACCAGATGCCAATCTACCTGAGGCGCCTTCCTACTTCAATCATCGAATGCCTTTTCCTTTTCCTTCCTCTTCAGCGGGCGAGCGGATATCCAAGCTACTTCCAACGCATTCCTACTCCATGCTTCGACCTACTTCTTCCGACCGACGTGTAAGACTGTCTGATTCACACACGGCACCGGCGCGAATCGCGGCGTCAGTAGGGGGGCAGGAGGTGGGGGGGCGGTGCCAGTCACGACGTCGTCGGAAATAATAGAGAATTCGGCTCCAGCACTAGCTTGCGCGCTTGGATTTGGCCTGCCCGCGGCCCCCCAGAGCTGCGCACTACACGTCACGCGTGCCCAGGGTCATCCTTGCGTGTAGCCGGGAGGGTCTGGTCTCGGGGGCAGAGATAGCAAGGGGACGTGAGCTCAGCATAGAGTTAAGTCGGGCATGTCCCCCTACAGGGGGATTTTCGACGAAAAGTACAGAAATGTTTTATTTTTCATCAAAATTCCCCTGTAGGGGGACAGGCCCGACATAAGCAGAGAGGCGCGCATTGACCAAAAATCGCCCACTGATTGCCGATGGCGGCCCGGTAGCCCACCCCGCCAAATTCAGCGTGCTGTTTCGCTATCGGGGGCGAGACTAGGGGGGGGGGATATCATGGCGGGGGCCATGGTGTCTCCCCAGATTTCATGGCGTCTCTGCTTACTTCATTACGTCCCCGTCCATCCCCCCCCCTGGGCCGCGAGAATGCCGCCAGCCATGATTTTCGCCCCCCCTCTTGGACGCCCCCCTCTCGGCCGCCCTGACGACAGGCCCGACGGGCGCTTTTAATTAAGATTGGCTGCCTACCTGGGCTGGTCGGTCTGGCTGGGCCCGAAGTGGTGAGCATGAATCGGTGGTGGGAGAAGGGGGGAACTGAGAGAAGGTCTTCTCGGAAGGCGGCGGGACTTCTCAGAAGCCCTCGCGCCTTCTCAGAAGATGTTTGTGTCTTCGTGGAAGCCTCATGAAAACTTCTCGGAAGTCCGGGGGACTCCAGAGCCTTCTGAGAAGGCCTTCTCCTTCTTACTTCCCCCCCTAGCTCGCCGCCAAATCGAATGGCGCTGTGTTATTCAGTTCACTGCAGTCCAGCTTTCCCCACTGATCAGGTTTCGCTTGGGACATCTTTTCCAAGCAGCCTCCTGCCAGCACGCGGGCGTGGCCCACGTCGAAGTCGTTGGCAGTTTCGTGCTCGTTGTGAGGCCACTCAGTTCAAAGCGTGCCAGATTCACCCACTGAGTCGGTCGCGCTTGGCACCTCCTCTCCAAACTGACTCTCGCCAGCATGCGCATGTGGCTCTTGCGCGGGAAGGTCCCATCGGAGTCGTCGGCAGCTTCGTGTTCGAAGTTGCGTGGAACCAGCCTCCGATCAGATTATAGTCAAGTCTCCTCGGAGCTAAAAAGTTGGTGCACTGTCTCTGTTGTTCTTCAATGTGTTCGCATCTCTGTCTGTATCTCTATAGTATCATCTTTTAGGTTTGTTGTCATATCTCTATATATCCCTCTTTATTGCTTCATTCATTGTTTGTTTTTGTTCCTCTCTCTCTCTCTCTCTCCCTCCCTCCCGCACTCTTGCCTCAGTCTTTTGGAGGG